TCTTTTCTCTAGTCTTACCACACAATGTGTTTATTCCTAAACAAGGTATTATTTTGGTTTTGCCTGTTTCCAAACTTTGCTTAAGTTAGAATCATGATGTATGCACCATTTTGCAATTTGCTTCTTCCACTTGAGATTGTATCTGTGAGATCATTTAGCTTCGATGATAAAGCTGTCTGCATTCAGTATCACCATATTGCAAATTGAGTGCAACAAACTGGATGCATCTGTTCTCTGGCACAGGGATATGTGGGGACTTCTGGCTTTTTCTACAGAGCACATTGCTGCTATAAATATTCTTGTCCTGTCTTCTGGGCCCCCTGAGCTTTCTCCAGCTGATGGAGCCAGCAGGACTAAGAGCAGGAGTGGAATTACTAGAGCATAGGCTTTAACACTTGGACTTAAAAATGAGTTTAAAACATGTTATTGCTGAGAATAATGATGAAGATGACCCATAGCTAATCTTTTTAAATGTTTCATTTTCTCTATTGGCACTTATAAAAACAAAGTGAAATTCTCTTCATTGTTAGTTGGGGTGGCATTGTTGTCAGTGGGTCAGCCTGGACAGGAGGAATCAGGCAACAGGTAGGCAGTGGGCTAGGGGAGGTGGCTGGAAGAGGCATGAGCCATCTCTACAATTCTCAATTTAAATGAGAGTGTCCCTGACTTCAGGTAGTGATCTCTTTAACAACTCACTGGTGACATTCTTATCTTCCAATCTGCAAAGTGCTTGGCAATTATTGCAGTTTAGGTTTCCCCATTAGTGGAAGCCCTTCTGCATATATCATATAAGGATGAAAATATAGAATGAAGCTGCTGACCACGGTTTTCAAAATCACGGTAATTAGTTCCATTAGAACAAACCCAATTATAGTCCTAATTCTCTCTGACTTGCTAAAAGCACCGAAAGTGAAAGTTTTGGGGGTCATTTGACTTCATTGTCATGGCTGGAATGGAGTAAGGGTAGCAGGGACCAGAAGTCAGGTTGTGGGAAGAGAGCCCCAACAGACCAGGCCAATGGCCAGAGTGGTGGACATGCTCAAAGTGTAGCGAGGCCAGTGTAGAGATCCATCCATGAATTGACAGGTTAGCGGTTTATCAAGGGAGAGGCTTTGACCTCAGGATTCTGCAAGAGGTCCCACTAGAAAGTAGGTCTTCAACAATTAGAACCCCTGGTTCTGAACTTCCTATTCTCCAAAACTGTGAGAACACATTTATTTACTTTATAAATTACTCGATCTCTGATATTTAGTGTTAGCAACAGAAAGCAACCAAGATGGGTGGAGGAAATAAGAAGCACAGCAGATGATCAATACACAAAAGTAAATTTAAATCAGCAACATAAAGAATAATTGGAATTGGAATTTTTTTAAATGCCATTTACAATAGCAATCCAAGCATTGAAGTTCTGAAGTAGAAATAAAACAAACAGACAAATAGCATTCAGCAAACTTTGAAAGATGATTGAAAGAAATCAAAAGAAACATAAGTAACTGCATAGATATTTCTTCTTCAGGAGCAATTCAATCATTATTGCTAAAGTGATAATTCTTTCTAACCTGATCTATACATTCAGCAAAAAAGATGATAACAAACTGTTTCCAAATCAAGAAAAGACAGCATAAGACTGAAGAAGAAGAATTTAAGAACCAACACATCTGATTCTAGGCACTGATCATAAATCTATAGTGATAAAGAAAGTGTGTTGTTAGGTAGAGAATTAATGAACAGATCAATGGAACAGAATAGAGAACACCAAATACACCTATGTAAATATAGTCAACTGATTTTGTCAATGGGAGAAAGGGAATTCAGAGCAAAGAAAAGTTTCACAAATATTTACAGAAGAATTATAGAAAAAATAAGTCATGGGGAACCCAGATGGGGGGAAAAAAAGGAACATAGACACAAACATATGGCTTACCCATAAAACTTACACAAGACAGTCCATAAAGTTAAAATTTTCAAATGCAAAGTTGCAAAAGTTATAGAAGAAAATCTATATTTCCTTGTGTCCTTATAAAAGGGAGGATTCAGACACAGAAACGTACACAGGGAAAACACCATGTGGAGACGGGAGCTTTGCTGCCACAAGTCAAAAAACTACTGAGCTTGAAGCAAGGCCTGGAACAGACCCTTTCCTCGTGCCTCCAGTGCAGTGCTGCCCTGCTGACACCTTGACTCCAGACCTCTGAACCTCAGAGCTCTTAGACAATAAATCTCTGTGGTTATAATCCATCCAGTCGAGGGTACTTTGTCATGGCAACCCTGGGAAAATAATACCAGCACATCTATTCCATTCAATATTCTCTGGCCACAGCTGCCTCCCCCAGCCCAATCCATGAGATGGTGGGAGGTAAAGTAGGATCCTTCACAGGTCATTGCTGCTGCCAGGTGGTCACTTCCTGCCTGAAGGTTGGGGGAGGGGACGTTCCTAGACTCACTCTCCAATTTCCTGAGGACAGTGGCAAGATGAGAACAAGGAGGAATAAGAGGTCATCATCCCTGAAGCTGGTAACTAAGAGTCCACCCTGATAATCCTAGAGCCCAGAAAGCCTTGGGCTGGACAAACCCCATCCCTCATCTCCTCTGTACCCCCTCCCAGTCATTTAGAATTTTAAAGAGCAAAGAAGTCCATTTTAAACTCAATAGGAAAGCTCAGAAAGAAGATGATCCACCTGAACTTGGCATATCACATGTGTCCACTGGGTCCAGGCTGGCCCTTTAGGGATGAGAGTAGAACAGGTTGGGAGAAACACACCTCTCTTCTAATGGAAATCCAGAAGACAAGTCCAGAAAAGGGAGAGGAAAAGGAAGGGTTTGTTTGACAGGACGTCAAGGGCAGAGGCTCCATCCATACAGGAGCTATGTGGAGAGAGGCTGAGGAGGGGCCTCCTCTTCCATCTAGACAGGACTTCTGGCCACTCCAGAGGTGCCCCTTCTCAGAAAGTCCAGTCCCAGCCAAGGCTCAACTCCAGGGATTTTTTTTTCTTTCATTTTTCCCTAAAATGGGCATCATGCAGCAGGCCAAATCATAGTTCTAGAACTTTCAGGACTGAGCCTGCTTCCTGTCCAGGATAGGAGAGAGCAAAATGCCCTGGAGTTCCTCATGCAGTCCTTGCTTCTGACTGTGACCAGCTCCCTTACAGGTACTTCCTTGTTGGGTGTCATAGACCCTGCTGGGCACAGGAAAGAACAGGAGGAGGCTGGGATAAGCCAAGGGTAGGACCCTGGTAAAGGCCCTCTCAGCAAAGGCTGGGAGTGTTCTGGTCAAAACCATTCAGGGATAAATAGGAAACATCTATCTGAAGTCTAAATGCACACTTTTGGAAGGGTTTCTGCTTAGGAAGATGACTCCAAGGAGATGCTCATGTCTCTGTTGTGACACGTACCCATGGGTGCCAGAGACTGGCTCTACTGAGAACCAGTTTCATAAATAAGTCTGTCACACAGTAGCATGCCCTGTAGCCCTTTAAGAGGAATGAGGCCCGTCTGTATGCAAGATGAGGAGCAGTCTCCTGGAAACATCTCATGATAAGGCACAAAACCCTGTGTAAAAAATGAGAAGGCTAGACATGTTGAACATTTTTTCATACATTTGTTGATCCATTGTATTTCTTCTGCTGTGAATTGTCTGTTTGGTTCCCTAGTGCATATATTGATTGGCTTATTTGGTTTTTTGGTGTTAAGTTTTTTGAGTTCTTTATATATCCTGGAGATTAGTGCTGTATCTGAGGTGCATGTGATAAAGATTTTTCTCCCATTCTATAAGCTCTTCACGTTATTGTTTCGTTTGCTGAGAAGAATCTTTTTAGTTTGAACCTTTCTCATTTATTGATTCTAATTTTACTTCTTGTGCTTTAGGAGTCTTGTTAAGGAAGTCAGGTCCTAAGCTGACAAGGTGAAGATTTGGGCCTACTTTTTCTTCTATTTGACACAGGGTTTCTTTTCTAGTGCCTAAGACTTTGATCCACTTTCAGTTAAGTTTTGTGCAGGGTGAGAGAGTGAGGTTTAATTATATTTTGCTACATATAAATTTCTAGTTTTGCCAGCACCAGTTTTGAGGAGGCCATCTTTTCTCCAATATATGTTTTGGGGTCCTTTGTCTAGTATGAGATAACTGTATTTATGTGGGTTTGTCTCTGTGTCTCCTATTCTTGTACCAAGTATTTTAAGTATTCTAGGGATGATTTGAAGTATACAAGAGGATATACATCGTGTTTTAGTCAGCTTTTTTTTGTTGCTGTGATTAAAAGATTTGACCAGAATAATTTTAGGGAGAAAAAGTGTATTTGGGGGCTCAAAGTTTCAGAGGTCTTGGTTCATAGACAGCTGAGTCCATTCCTCAGGGTTCAAGGCACGACATCATGATGGAAGAGCATGACAGAAGAAAGCAGCTCACATGATGATCAGAAATCAGAGAGACTCCACTTGCCAGATACAAAACATAGACACCAAAGCCACGCCCCAATACCCCACCTCCTCCAGCCACGCCCCACCTGCCTTCAGTTACCACTCACTGAATCCCATCAGGTGATTAATTTTCTGGTTGGGTTAAGGCTGTCATTACCCAAAAATTTCTCCTCTTAACCTTTTTTTTTTTTTTTTTTAGGATGATAGTTTGGTTTTTATTGTTGTCCTGTGTTGGGCTCAGTACAGAAATGCTGTCACCACCATTGGCTATTGCTAGCTCGCTAGCTTTCCAGGAGGAACAGGCAACAAAGGTGGCTTCAGATGGCTCTTAGCTACTGATTTGGGCTTCAGGGTTTATAAAAGCAGCATAGTGGGTCCCACTTTCTGATATGAAGTACAAATTCTCATTCACAGTCAGATTTCACCAGGAAGGAGATGGTCAGAGTTGAAGTCACGTTAATTAAGGAGCAAACTCAAGGTCACACTTGGTCTTCCTTCTGCTTCCTGATACACCCAGATGACACTGGAGAAGCAGTGCTGCTGGCATCTGGGCTAGTGTGTTGATGGAGCAAGGTGGGAGGAACTGCTCACTAGTAGAACTTCTTGCTGGGGTTGTTGGCAAGGTCAGTGAGCAGCTGGCATGGGATGAACTGTATTCCATAGACAGCTTCATGCTTCTGGAGCTGGTCCACTTCTGGTCATCATATAGATCCATGAAACACAAGGACCCTCCGAGACAAGGGAGGAAGCCTAGGCCAAAGACTTCTCCAATGTCTCCCTCTGCAGGTTTGGCAACATCCCTTCCTGTAGGCACATGACTACCTCATTCACAAATCTTGTCACCAATGGTACTGAATATCTTCATCAGAGGAGGCCTCAGGCTTTGCAGGAAGCCTCAGACTTGTAAAATTCTTATTCATGTCAGAATTCAAACTCTTATTCTTTGAGCTCTCCTCATGGATGTAAAAGCTCTTCCCAGATTTGCAACCCAGAAAGTCCTGGACACCATCTGTTTCAGCAGTTCTAGGCTTCTACCTCCAAACCGCTCCCCAAAGGCTTTGCCCTGATCTTCTGCCATATGTTTCACTATAACCACACCAACTTCATCTGCCAGGGTGGCAGCACCCATAGGAAAGCCAAAGCCTGTGGTCAGAGAATCCAGCTTCTTAAGATCAACTCCTTCCTGGAGGATTCATATGATTTCGATCATCATGGATATAAGACATATAAGGTGTCTTGTATCCTTAAAATCTTAAGCCACATCCATCCTTAATCACAACGATGAACTTCCCCTGCTTAAGACCAGCTGCTACAGTACAAGTGGTTGTCTCCTTGGATGTTTTCTTGGTTGTGATGATCTCTAGTAGCTGCATCTTGACCACAGGAGAGAAGTAGTGCATGCCAATTACTTTCTCAGGTCTTTTGCTGACAGCAACAATTTCATTGATTGGGAGAGCAGAGGAGTTACCGGCAAAGACACAGTGAGCTACTTCCTTTAGCACTTTGTGCTTAACACCGAGGTCCTCAAAAACAGCTTCAATCACCACATCAGCCTTTTCAAAACCCTGGTAATCAAGCTGCCCAATCAAGTTGCTGAAGATGGAATCCTTTCAAATGATGTCATAGCTTTCTTCTTCACTTTGTCGTTCAATTCTTTGAACACTCATTGCTGTCTCTGGCCCACTCCAGCTATTGTAGTATCTTTAAGAAGGGTATTTAGCCCCTTGTCCATGGAGATTGGGTGATGGAAGCTCCCATTAACCCTGCACCAAGAATAGCTAAATGCTTAACATACTTCTATGGGGCTCCAAATTTATTTTTCTGGCGTAGGACTTGGCCATGGTAAAGTACCAACAAGGCCTTTGATTCTTTAGTCAATGCCAACTCTCCAAATTTCTGGTGATTCAGTAAGATAACCAGCATCACTTTTTCGTTCAAGTCCAGTTTTTATGACATCAATTATTTTCAGAGGGGCAAGATAAAGGCCTTTGGTCTGTTTTCACACTTCTTTTTCCATGATTTTGTAAATGTGTGGTCTAACAAATGGAATAGTCATGGCATATGCTGTTGGTTTTTCCACCAATCCCTTGTATCTCTTAGGAGAGAGCTTCTTATCAACTAGTCCATTAGCAAAAGTAACTATAACCTCTTCGAGTTATTCAATTGTCCATTTTTCTGGAGCTTTTACTCCTGGTCCAGGGGTTCCACCAATTGGTCAAGTCCCATTTTCTTTGCTCTGTCTGCACAAATGTTTCTATGAGTTAGCATCAGGTCAAATGCAGCAGGTACATCCACCATTTTGGGCAGCCTTTGGGTGCCTTCTGCTCTATTAGGATCCCCAGAAAGATTTCAGGGATACCTGAAATGTATACACATGGACCCTTCCACAACAGTGTAGCCCATCCTTTAAGCCATCAGAAAAGGTTTCTATGGATAAAAATGCACACACTCTTCTCTCACCAGCTGGAAAAAAATTCTTTGCTTGAAAAAGGCTCATCTGGCCGATCACGGTGACACATGTCGGTATTCCTGACGGCTGAAGAGGCTGAGGCAGGAGGATCAGCCTCAGCAACTTAGTGAGACCCTGTCTCACAATAAAAAGATAAAAAATGCTGTGGATGTGGCTCAGTGGTTAAGTGCCCCTGGGTTCAACTCCTAGTACCAAAACAAATAAATAAATAAATAGGTTCATTTGATTAGAGAAGGCACATATAATCTCTCTACCTTGATGTCAACTGATTGGGAACTTTAATTATACCTGTAAAAATCCTTAACAGGAGTTCCTAGATGAGTGTTTGATTGAACAATTGGGAAAAGATGTGTGCACCTAGGTCGGGTGAATCTTGGGGCCATCTTACAATTTCACCTCACACACCTACTGTTTGGGAAAGGAAACATGGTCTTTGGAACTAGATGAACCTGTGTTTAGCACAGGGAAAGTAACTTAAAAGCTCATTTATTAGTAAGCACTGTGCTGTAGTGTGGAATAGGATGCAGGGGTGGTTGAAGGTGGAGGCGATGCCATGGAGAAGAGTATCAGTGGCACAAGCTGTCCAGTGGGGGCCCAGAAGTTTGTTCAATGGAAAAAGGGTAGAGACTCTAGGAGATCAATCCCAGCCTGAGAGGAGGCACCAGGCACCTGCCTACATGCTGGGGGTACTCCCAGGTCTGGCTTCCTAAAGTACGAATAACCAAGACACCCAGCTGAGCCCAGAGACTCCCCACGGGTAACTGGATTTTTTACTTCCACCTCTGATATAGACCAAATCAATATGGCAAGCAGAATTCATATTCATGATGAGGGGATCACCTTGGGCTGTACAGAGGCATTTTTGCTCCTTCAACTCAAATCCCTTTCATCTGTAACTTCTCATTTCCCCGCCCACCATTACATCACCAGGGCTGGGTGGGTCCAGGATATAAAAGCAGAGCTGCTGGCCCAGGCAAGTCTCTGTTCAACCAAGTCGGGGCCTTCACCAGCTCTAAAGTGGCCTTCACCTGCACTCCTTCACTTGCTTTTGTCATCATGCGTGAAATTGTGCTTATCCAGGCAGGCCGATGCGGCAATCAGATCGGCGCCAAGGTGGGCACGTTACTGGGGCGTGGACCCTGTGTGACACAGGCTGGGGCCAGGGGCCCCAAGGATGAGAGTGGAGTCTGGAGAAAACTGGGGTCACCAGCTGCCAGGTGCCATGGTGAGGCCATAGGGCAACACAACCTGCCACCGCGAATATGGTGATGCAGCTATGTGTGCCTTAAATCAATGCCCTTTAAATTACCCAGGGAAACACTTTTCCTCATGGTGGCCAGTTTCTTCCCCTGCCACTCAGATGCCCTCCCAGGATCCTGCCTATCAACATTCACCCATTGCCTGCCAGGGTTAGGATCCAGAGGCCAACATGTACATTGCTGGCATCAACCTTTGCTGGTAAAAGCTGCCTGGGGTTTGTGCCAGGAGTGGGGCCACTTGATCCTTGGTCCTGCTAGAACCCATCAGTAGGGATTCAGGGACATTCAAACCTGCATGGAAGAAAAGCCCCACTGTGTCCACTGCTTCCTACAAGAGGATCTGTATTGTTGCTTCCTTCTCTTCCAATGTCATTCCAGCCCTTCAGTCTGTGACCATATATGGCTCCTGTTCTGTGGATTTCCCAGCCACTAGGAAGAAATTGATATGAGAAATACAGGCCACAGATCTGTGATCTTAGTCTAGGATTCTTGACTGTCTGACCAAGGCATTCCAGTGACAGGATGCTGGGACATGGAGTGATTCTTTTTTTTCCTTTCAGTTTTGGGAGGTCATCAGTGATGAACATGGCATTGACCCCACTGGCAGTTATCATGGAGATAGTAACTTACAGCTGGAGAGAATCAATGTGTACTACAATGAAGCAGCTGGTGAGTATATTGGATATTAAACTTGCTTTCCGAATGATGACAGAGGAAATGTTCTAGGAGCATACAAATGACAAAGAAATGCATTTTTGCACATTAATATAAAATGCCAGCATAAAAAGATATACTTTGTAGTTCTGTTTTTTGTTTTTTGTATTTTTTTTTAACATGACTAAGCAGGCTAAGCATTCTTTTTCTTTTTCCCTTTTGTCTCAAATATTGGAATCTTCTGTAATAAATCCTTCTGTGAGAACTATACAGAATTATGACCCTACCCACAATTCTTTGTCAAGCACAAATGTAAGTCAGCTTTTGTTCCTATAGGCAACAAATATGTTCCTCGGGCCATCCTAGTGGACCTAGAGCCAGGAACAATGGACTCGGTGAGATCGGGACCATTCGGCCAGATATTCAAGCCAGACAACTTTGTGTTTGGTATGTCCTCATGGTCCATGGGACCATGACTCACCTTCTTCCTAACACCCATACACTTCACAGTTCTCAGTGATCAGTGTGCAGGAGAGACTGTGTCCACAGATGGCCCCAGTCCTGGCCTAATCCCTTCCAGCCCTTGGGGGTGGGGGCATTTTTCTGGTCACTCTGGACAGCTCAGGGATTAATGCCAGAATCCATTCCAGCCTCTGAAGGGAAAGTCTCAAGAGCAAAAAAAGCTTCTAATGAGGCTCAACAGGCTACAGGTAACTTCAAAGCATCTGTTGAACTCACTTAATTACTGTTAGGCAATGAAGGCCAAAAGCACAGCATGTGAGCAAGATTTAGACAACTGCCTAGAGCCCCTTGCCCCTCTGATCACACTGTGCCATTCCTGTCTATTTGTACTTCATTAGAGTATTGAACCATTTTCCCTAGTTTGAGAAGCAGATGAATTTCGTTAAACATTTTCTCTTCCCTGCTTTTCTTACTTTAAGATGATTCCCAGCATTTTTGAGGGTCACTGATACAGAAGGTTTTATCTGTGTTTTCTACCAGTTGGTGGAGAAAGAGGGTGCAGACAGTCTTAGAAAACAAAAGCATCTCTAAAAGGTTATTTAGGATTAGTTGTTAGCACAAAGAGATCGGGCTGGATGCAAATTCATGGGTCATATCAGCCTTTTATTCAGGAACAGGACTATACCTATGGGAATGGACCCACTTTCCTGGTGGAAAATGAATCACTGAACAAAGGAGGGGACTGAGTTTATATAGGTCATGGGTGATTTGGTGAGCTTGTCAGTCTGGGCACTCAGGAATTTGAGTTTCAGGGTTGGGGGTCAGTGGCCAGCACCTGGAGAGGAGTTATTTTGGAAGAAAATAGTGTTTCCTAGAGATTATCATTCTAGGTTTAATGAGACACTTTCTCCCTTCCAGCATCTAGGAAGGATTTATTTTGGGAGAGATGAAAGTTATCAATGTATGGCCACACTATCTTGGGGTGTTTTATTTTCCAGTCCTAGTCCTACCTTCTCCACCGTGCAAATGACACCATTCAGAATTCTTGTATATTTGTGCCTAATATTCTCTTTTCCTCTGGTAGGCCAGAGTGGTGCAGGGAATAACTGGGCCAAGGGCCACTACACAGAGGGGGCCGAGCTGATGGACTCCGTGCTGGACATGGTGAGGAAGGAGGCAGAGAGCTGTGACTGTCTCCAGGGCTTCCAGCTGACCCACTCACTGGGGGGTGGCACTGGATCCGGCATGGGCACCCTGCTCATCAGCAATATCCGGGAGGAGTACCCAGACCGCATCATGAACACCTTCAGCGTCATGCCTTCGCCCAAGGTGTCGGACACAGTGGTGGAGCCCTACAATGCCACCCTCTCTGTCCACCAACTGGTAGAAAACACAGATGAAACCTTCTGCATCGACAACGAGGCCCTGTATGACATCCATTTCCGCACCCTGAAACTGCCCACCCCCACTTACGGGGACCTCAATCACCTGGTGTCAGCCACCATGAGCGGGGTCACCACGTGTCTGCGCTTCCCGGGCCAGCTGAACGCAGACCTGCGCAAGCTGGCCGTGAACATGGTGCCCTTTCCACGCCTGCACTTCTTCATGCCCGGTTTCTCGCCCCTGACCAGCCGGGGCAGCATGCAGTACCGCGCCCTGACGGTGCCCGAGCTCACCCAGCAGATGTTTGACTCCAAGAACATGATGGCCGCGTGCGACCCCCGCCAGGGTCGCTACCTGGCAGTGGCTGCCATCTTCCGAGGCCACATGTCCATGAAGGAGGTGGACGAGCAGATGTTCAACGTACAGAACAAGAACAGCAGCTACTTTGTGGATTGGATCCCCCACAACGTGAAGACGGCCATGTGTGACATCCCGCCGCGGGGCCTCAAGATGTCAGCCACCTTCATCGGCAACAACACCGCCATCCAGGAGCTCTTCAAGCGCATCTCTGAGCAGTTCACGGCTATGTTCCGGCGCAAGGCCTTCCTGCACTGGTACACGGGTGAGGGCATGGACGAGATGGAGTTCACCCAGGCCGAGAGTAACCTGAACGACCTGGTCTCCGAGTACCAGCAGTATCAGGAGGCCACCACCGAGGAACTGGGAGAGTTTGAGGAGGAGGAAGAAGAGCAGGCAGCAGTTTAGGAACTTTTCAATTTCCTTGGTAAAATTCTTATCCTCCTGCACCTTTCTGCTTGGAAACTTAAGCTTCTCAGGTGGGTCTGTCACAAGTTCACTGTTGATGAGAATGTGGATCTCCCCTCAGTATGACTGTATTGTTTCTTCAACGATCTATACTAATAATTCATGTGGTCCACACTCTCCACATTTTTGTTCTCCCTCTTCCTGAGATAGAAGTTTTAGGATTTCATCTTTCAGCAGTATAGGTTTTCTGCTTCAATGCTTTGAGAAGTATTCTTGTTCCTTTAGTAAAGAGACGCGAGTGCATGTTTTTTTTTTTTTTTTAATCTTCTCTTTCCCAAAGTATTAAAATAAAGATAATTCTCAAAAGTTATTGGGGAATGATGCCATTCCAGAATCGCTGTGAGTCTGTAGAATCAAGGCCTTAGGTAAGGACTTCTATTTATCTACTTCCCTTTGAACAATGTGATAAATACAAATAAAAACAAAGTGCCACTTTACCCGTCAGATAAACGATATACTATAAATTGTAGATGTTCTAAAAAAGCAGCCAGGGACATGACAGAGTTCCACCTAAAATTTGTTTGAAAATTATGGCAGGAATTTAGGACAGTGATAGAAACTAACAATTTAACATTTAAAAAAAAAAATAACATCTTTCTAGCTATTAAAACCAGAGGCTGCTTTCAATATGTCATTATTCCTGATTGACCAGGATCCCATTTTTGAGAGGGTAGGAAGCTGGGAAGGCAGATGAACTGAAGTATGCTCTAAGGGAGGGAGATTCTGAAGCTCTAGGGTGTGATGGTAATAGGCAGCAATATAATCGACACTGTGCTAAGGAAACACTAAGGCATGAAATATTTTATGGGCAGTTTCATTAGTTTCATTGTAGGTAGTTTTCTGCAAACTTGTTGAATCAAAAATGTAAGTGCAGGTTGTTTGCCTTCTGGCATCAGATGAAACCTTTCAAAGAAAAGCTTAATTAGGGGCTGGGTTTGTGGCTTGGTGGTAGAGCACTTGCCTCGCACATGTGAGGCCCTGTGTTCAATTCTCAGCACCACACCAGTCAATAAATAAAGGTATTGTGTCCATCTACAACTAAAAATATTTTTTTTAATTTTTTTTTAGAGAGAGAGAGAGAAGAGAGAGAGAATTTTTTAATATTTATTTTTTAGTTTTCGGCGGACACAACATCTTTGTTTGTATGTGGTGCTGAAGATCGAACCCGGCTGCACGCATGCCAGGCGAGCGCGCTACCGCTTGAGCCACATCCCCAGCCCCTAAAAATATTTTTTGTTATCTTAAACAAAAAAAACTTCATTAATGACACACCTTTG